GGAGGGAGGAGGGAGGAGGAGGAGGGAGGAGGAGGAGGAGGGAGGAGGAGGAGGAGGAGGAGGAGGAGGAGGAGGAGGAGGAGGAGGAGGAGGAGGAGGGAGGAGGAGGAGGAGAGGAGGAGGAGGAGGAGGAGGAGGAGGAGGAGGAGGAGAGGAGCAGGAGGAGGAGGAGGAGGGAGGAGGAGGAGGAGGAGGAGGAGGAGGAGGGAGGAAGAGGAGGAGGAGGAGGAGGAGGAGGAGGAGGAGGAGGAGGAGGAGGAGGAGGAGGAGGAGGAGGAGGAGGAGGCACCACCAGACCGAAACGAGTGCGCAGAGCAGCAGCAGAGACAGAGAACGATCAGGAAAAAGGGGAGGAGGAGGAGGAGCAAGGGAGGGAGGAAGGGAAGGAGGAGGGAGGAGGGGGAGGGAGGGAGGAGGGAGGAGGGAGGAGGGAGGGAGGGAGGGAGGGGAGGAGGGAGGAGGAGGGAGGGATGGAGGAGGGAGGACGACGACGCAAGGAGGCATCGGGTCCGTGTGTGTGTGTGATGCCCCCAGCAGCTGCCTGCTGGGCCCGACGCCGCTGCGACTGCCTGCTGGGCTGCCGCGGGCGGGAGCGCCGCGACGAGCTCCAAAGGCTTGCGCAGGTAGCCGGCCAGCATCGAACACGCCCGCTTGGCTTCCAGCTTGGCAGCCTGCGGGTCCTTGGGGGCGAGGGCTTCGCTGCTTCGCCGAAGGGCGTTGCCGATGGCTGCGACGCCCGGGGTGCCGCCCAGGATGGCGTGGCGAGCTTCTGCAGCCTCTGCTCGGAGGCCAGCGGGTTCGGGCGGCACCGCATCAGGTGCACTCTGCTTATGTTCGTTAGACGCCTTGAGCTCATCTGGGCTTCTCAGCTTGCAGGCGATCAGTGCTAGAGTCAAGGGGCCCCAGGACACACAAATAAATACACACAAATAACAGGATTCCCTATATTTTCCTATATTTTCTGTGTTTTTGTCTTCCCCCCCATTTCCAATATTATCCGACATTTTTTTGGGGGGAATCGAAGATTAATTGTGTCTGTGTGTTTTTTCCCTCTTGATAGAGCGGGGCCAATCCTCAAGGCTCCTGCGGGCCTCCTCGGCCTGCCCCGCTGTGGCGAGGGTGGTCTTTGCAGCGACGGTGAGCGAGTGGTCTTCGAGGAGCCCCAGTCGTCGTGGGGCCGCCAGCGCTGTCTTGGCCCGAACGAGGTCATCCTCGTCTTGCTTGTCGGAATCCATTGAGCCCCTGCCTGCATTTGAGGGCCTGGCAAAACTGGCGTGACGCGGTGGGCGGCTGACGCTTGGTCCTGGCCGTCTGATGCGATCTCGCACGCACTGCTGGCAGACCTCCCGCAACTCGAGGCTGTGGCGGTATCCGCACCGCCGTGTTGCCGTGTACGCCCAGGTTACCGACTGAGGAGAGCGGGAATCCCGCGGAGCAGAAGTACCTCTGGGACCACCGACGCATCAGACGAGCCCGTCGTCATGAAAAATCCGTGGCGCCGACAGTAGGAACAACAAACCGCATAAGCACCAACTTTTGGAGGTCTCCTCGGATTTATTGGATCCGCGCTGGACCGCCCTTCCTGGCGCGCGGAGCGCGCCAGGGGCGGCGCCAGAGGTGCTGCCAGGGGGGCCCAGCGCAGATCCAAGAAATCCGCGCGGAGCGCCGACAGTTTGTCTGTGCAATTTTTCTTCTTCGATGCCACGGCGAGCCTGAGCTCGCAGCACACGTACGGCAGGTTCGTGTCGTGCTGCCTTCGGCGTTGGTTCCCGACTCCGCGGGGATCGTTCAACATTGAACGATCAGGCGTTTCCGAAACGTGAGATCGTTCAGCATCGACCGCCGGTGGCGTCAAGGTTGAAAGCCAACGGCGTTGTCGCCGCCTTCGACACGACGCGAACCTACCGTACCATGAACTTGTCGTTGCTCCGAACTGCTCGGGCCATTCTGCGCGGGGCCGGCGAACGGGCGCGGCGCAGGGCCGCCGCAGCCGGTATGGTGGCGCCGATGCAAAAGGACCTCTGGACTCTGGAGGTGGTGGGGTCATTGCCTACACGCGTGGACGTGATGATGACGATGCTGCTGCTGCTGATGATGATGATGCTGCTGCTCATGACGATGACGACTATGATGCCGATGATGATGCTGCTGCTGACGATGGCGAGGAGGAAGGGAATTATGATGACGACGATGCTGATGCTGCTGATGATGACGATGCTGATGATGCTGATTATGATGCTGATGATGATGTTGCTGATGCTGATGATGATGATGATGATGATGATGATGATGATGCTAATGATGCTAATGATGATGCTAATGACGATGGCGACGACGATGATGCTGCTGATGATGATGTTGATGATGATGATGATGGTGATGGTGATGATGCGCAGGAGGACAAAGGGAACAAGTAGGAGGCGGGCGATGAGCAGGACGACGAGGAGGGTGAGGGTGTCGTGGAGCAGGAGGAGGGTGAGTAGCAGGAGAAGGAGGAGGAGAAGGAGGAGGAAGAGGTGGAGGAGCAAGAGGAGGAGGAGGAGGGAGGAGGGTCATGTGGACGAGGATGACGACGAGGACGAGGAGCAGGAGGAGGAAGAGCACGAGCGGAGGAATGGGGAGGATGTCTCTACAAGCCTTCCTCTCCACGGCAAGAAGCGGCCTGTTGAAAGACCAGCACCCTATGGGCCTGACATTCAGGTGAGAACACCATTTTGATAAGGAGCTGCCTTGCATCTCCATCGAGATCCCCGTTGTAAAAATGATCGCCCCCCTCCGAGTGACTGTTGCGCTAATCTAACCACTTCTGGTCATGGCGCTCGAAGAAGTCTCAAGCGAACACCCCGTTTCAGGAAACATCGCCTGTCGAGAGCCCCATTGCGAAAAGAAACCTTGCTCCACTCTTCTAACACTCCATCCATGTAGCGGCTACAAGCTTTTACGACGGAAATGCGCGGCGCTTAGGCGAAAACCCCATACTGGAAAACCGCCCTACGTCCTTGCAAGCGTTGCATGCTTTTCAAACGAACGTGCGCGGCGCTGGAGCGAGAACTGTATTTTGAAAACGACCCCCCTTACGTCCGTGTGACTGTTGCGAATGTCGAGCTTCAGGGTCACGAGTGACTAGAAAGTCTCAGACGAAACGCCCGGCCCGCCCTGCCAACGCGTCTTTCGGCGCGACAGGGAAGAGTGACCTAGAAGTTGCCTCGAAGGGACAGGGATGAGGGGGAGGGGAGGATGCACAGCCTTCAGGCTCGCTGGGCTCTGAACGTGATGGGAGGTCAACCCAACGATGGCCAACGGTCTCCTTGTCGATGACATCGGACCATGTTGTCAACATGTTCAATGATGAACGGTGTTGCATCAAGAGGCGCACTTTGGAACAACAGGTTTAAACCATGGCAAGGAAGTAACCGCTGAGAGATTGGGAAGAGGCAGGAGGGAAGGCCGAGGTAGGGGGATGTGGGGAAATGTAATAACAGGGCAGGCAGAGGCAGGATCGCCGGGGTAGCCAGATGGGTAAAAGGAGGGGTGGGGGGTAATAATGAGGGAAACGAGATGGACGCTTGCATGTGCTGTTGTCCTCGGGAAGCACACCGAGGGGAAGCATTTAAGCCGAAGTAGTACGTCTGGCGCAGATGGGTCCGCGCGGACAGACGCAATAGTACTTGCACGCATTGGCGCCTGGATGCGTAAGTTTGCGCGCTGGGTCTACTAGCTGCGCGTGGATGCAGTTGCTCGCATGCAGTGGTTCTTGCCAGTGCACTAGTTCGTGCCCCCCGCAATAGCTTCGTAATGTTGCACGCGATCGTATGTTGTTTAACGAACGATTGCATCTCCCACCTCCGACCCATCTGCACCAGACCCGCTACGCTAGCTTAGAGAGGCTTCCGATGCTTCCGATAACGACGAGGGGCTCCGATAACGAGAAACAAACCCAAACGACAGAAAACTCAGAGGTGCCAAACCCGCAGGCTGAGCCATGTGAGCGCATGGGCAGAGGCTTGTGAAAACAATTCACGACTCCCTCGCCAGACGGGCCCCTTGCCTGGATCGGGCGCTTCTTCTCGACATGCCTCGGAACACCAAGGGGGTGTCCTGCCCACACAAGGCCTGAAAACCATATACGCCCTGGAGCCCTCCAGCTCAGAGCGGAGGAGAAGTAGGGGGCGAGGAGCGGTGTAAAATGAACTGTTCCACTCCGACGGCGGGAAAGTCTATTTTGTACCGCTCTTCGCCCCCTAAGTGGAGGACAGAGGAAGAAACAAACACATAAACATAAACCTTTGGAGGTCCGCGCGGATGTCTTGGATCTGGGCTAGGGCCCCACCCTGGCGCGCGGAGCGCGCCGGGGGCGGCGCGGGAGGCGCCGCCAGGAGGCCCCAGCGCGGATCCAAGAAATCCGCGCGGAGCGCCAAGAGTTTATGTTTATGGCGTTTTTTCTTCTTCGAGAGGATCGGGGGCGTCACGCTTTCTTCTTCCCGCGGCGGCGCGGCGGCGGAGAGGCGGCCCTGGTTGTGCGCCCAGCGGGCGTAGGCCACCGCGGTGGCGCGGGTGCCGACCGCCGGGCACGCGAGGGCCGCCCGGGCTGGCCGGGCAGTGCCAGCCGATGGGGGGGATCACGTCTCTGGAGGACGTCCACTCAGGCGGTGGGAGAAGGGAGTGATGATGATGAAGATGAGGAGGAGGAGGAGGAGGAGGAGGACCTCCCTATCCTCCCTTCTCCCACGTGTTGGCGATGTCTTCGCTGCAAGGGCTATACAGAAATAGCGGCCAGCAGCATTGTGTTCCGTGACCCCCTCAGCTCGAGGCCGTTCGGCACAGCGGGGGTCGCGCAAGGTTTCCCCCCCGAGCTCGTACACGTCACTGCCCAATACCTCGGCGTGGCACTTGCA